ATTATACAGTAGAATGTTCATAATTTTCCATGATACTGTGATACATGTGTCAGTAATGTGTCCACAATAAATGTTTATTGTCACAATATTACGTGGTAAACATTCACTAATATTACAATATGTACAGTTTTCACATACTATTTACACAGTAACACACTGTATTACACACTCAGTACTTTGGAGGTGCATAATAGTCAACGAAGTAGTCCATGGTACACAGCGCGACTTTGCTCTCCTTGCACCAGCTACAGATAGATTTTTGCTTCCTGTTTCATCGTTATGTGTGCTTGCAAATAACGCACTTGCGTGCACCCTTGGCTTTAGTACTTGTAGGTGGTATGTAGCCAAGCTTGTAAAGCATAAAGTAGTATTGAAACGATTATAGGAAAAGCTCAATTTGTAGGTAGTCTTGAAAAGATCGCTTTGTAAGGTCCCACACAGGAAGAGATTCAGCTAGCCTCAAAGAGTGTCCATCATTCAGGAAGAGATTCAGCTAGCCCCAAAGAGTGTCCATCAGTCAGGAAGAGATTCAGCTAGCCTCAAAGAGTGTCCATCAGTCAGGAAGAGATTCAGCTAGCCTCAAAGAGTGTCCATCAGTCAGGAAGAGATTCAGGTATTCTTGAAAATATCAATGAACACCACCACCATGGAAGCCGCTAACACTGTTAATCTATGCTACTTGTATCAGATGCATCATCACTGAACGCAGAAAACGATTCATCTATATACATTAGAGATGGCAAGGGTGGGGCTCAGAGCTACACCTGGATACGCTTGCTGTATCATCCTCATAGGTGCTGTATCACTGGCATCCGACCGTTGTGTTAAGCCCTTATTGCGCCTAGCTTCACCAATGTTATGACCCTTATGTTCTTCAAACAAAAGGGTCTGAATTGCACCGACTGAGCACAGTCTTTCAACACCGTGTGGGACAGGTGTTTGAGAGCCAGAGGCACGTGTGCCACAAATGGTTGCTCACGCAGTACTAACCCAGCCAGCAGCCCTTGTCTTTCATATTCGTTATGGCAAAAGGTTCGTTCAGTTTTTGTTGGGTAGGCTGCTCCATTATGACAATCTTTCTTTGTTTCAAATGTGTTCCATTTGTTTTGTATTTGTCACTTACGTCTCAATAATGGAGCAGCCTACCCGACAAACACTGAACAAACCTTTATGACATTTGTCCATTTTTCAAATTGTTTCAACAGTTCTTTTATTTTTCGTTTTTTTGTTTTTTTTTAAGAAACATGGAGCAGCCGACCTGTAGACCACCGAACGAACCTTTTTGACATTTGTACTGGTTTTCAAAATTCTTCATTTTTTTTATTATTTACGTTTTTTGTATGTAAGAAACATGGAGCAGCCTACCTGCCGACCACCGAACGAACCTTTTGCTATAAGGCAAATGAAAAATAAATATTGAACACATTTGAAGAAAGGAAAATGTCATAATGGTTTATTCAGTGTATGTAAGGTAGGCTTCTCCATTATTGAGACGTAAATGACAAATACAAAACAAATGGAACACATTTGAAACAAAGAAAGATTGTTATAATGGAGCAGCCTACCTGCCGAACACCGAACGAACCTTTTTGACATTTGTTGTATATCAGACATTTCATTTCTTTTTTCCTACAAAAACGTCAATGCTTTGCAACATCTCAGTAGTCACCCTTTTATATCCCAGCATCATTAGCATCTTTAAACAAGAACAACATAATTTATGTGCATTGTCGGAGGCGTCTAAGAATGTGCAAGAAGCAGCGCGACCCCACCATGTGGTGTTGACGTTACTCAAACCAGCGTTCGTCATAAGGGACGATTTGACGCCGATCGGGCCGTTCGTTACCCAAAATATTCGTCTTTTGGGGCAATATATATATATATCTATATATATATATATATATATATAGATATATATATATAGATATAGATATATATATATATATATAGATATATATATATAGATATATATATATAGATATATATATAATATATATATATATATATATATATATATATATATATATATATATATATATATATCTATATATATATATATCCCCAGCTTTATTTATTTATTTATTATTACATTATCACTTAAAAACAATATTTAGCAAAGATCACCTAGTAATGGAAAAAAAAAAAAACTTAATTACCTGGCATTGTTAGTTCCTGCTCCAACTAGTCCCATGGCAAAGATGGCATTATGTGCCACATCTGCATCTGAATCATGGGAAAATTTGCTCAGTGTATCCAAGATATTTAGTCTTGGATTAGACACAGAAATGAGACCCAGTGCTAGAGGAACGGCTCGTCTGATCACTGGCTCACAATAGCGCAGTAAATTGCCAAACTGACGGAATGACATCTCGGCTCCAATATCCTCGCCCATTGATATGAGTGCAATGCCTGCGAAGAACAAATAGAAAACATTATTATCACTAAATTTATTTTAATCATAGTTGATCAAGAAAGGTTATTCTGGGCTAGCCTGGATATGAACAGTGGTATTAATGTGTGGCTACCTCCCACCACCACTGGTTCAAGCTCACTGAAGCAGTGGTGGTTCAATGAACCCGGTTTGAACCTGGCTGGGCCCGACTCGGGATTCTCGGTCGGCATCGTTTCCCTGCCTCCTGTGGCCATGTTCCACTGAGCCTGCACCTAGTGAGAGCAGGATTGGTGGATTCATGAACCAAAGACACAGAAGACTCCAACTGCCCCCAACAATGAGCCCTGCGGAAGAATTAAAGATGTGTGTACTTAGGGCAAGGCACCATCCACAGGAGGCCAGCACTTTGAGGGACAGTCTCCTGAACACACCTGGGGCCAGATTCACGAAAGCACTTACGCAAGTACTTACGAACCTGTACATCTTTTCTCAATCTTTGGCGGCTTTGTTTCCAATTATTAAACAGTTTACAAGCCTGAAAACTTGCCAATCAACTGTTGTTATTGTTATAAACAGCCTCCTGATGCTTCGGAGCTCATTAACTGTTTAATAATTGTAAACAAAGCCGCCAAAGATTGAGAAAAGATGTACAGGTTCGTAAGTGCTTGCATAAGTGATTTCGTGAATCTGGCCCCAGGAAGGTAACCTTGTCAAGGCAGTGACAACACCAGCCAGCACCTAGGGAAGTGAGCCTGAAGCTCTATGCAACTCGAGGCCAACAATTTTGCATAGTTCACATAACAAGTGATTCTTATAACACACACATGAAGAAAATACAAGAAGTAAAACAAAACCAGCAAGTGGTCCTTGCAGGACAGAGGCTAAAGGATGTCTCACACTCATCTAGAAAACTAGAACCCAAAAGGTAAGGCAAGTGATGGATGTCGGGGAGCCGGCGGCTGAGCGGGCAGAACACTGGATGCATGATCCTGTGGTCCCAGGTTCGATCCCGGGCGCCGGCGAGAAACAATTGGCAGAGTTTCTTTCACCCTGATGCCCCTGTTACCTAACAGTAAATAGATACAGTACCTGGGAGTTAATCAGCTGTCGCGGGCTGTTTCCTGGGGTTGGAGGCCTTGTCGATGACCGGGCCACGGGCACACTAAGCTTTGAAATTATCTCAAGATAACCTCTCAAGATGTAGCAAGGATGCATTAAGCAGGTATCAAGCACTACTAAAAGGCAGTGCCAGGCTGCCTTTAGACACCTGCTGAGCTATGAGCTCTCGGTGCTGCCACCTTGTAGTGGGAAGGTGGAACTTGTAATGAAATACATAACTACTTAGTGTCATTTTCTGCTTTATTTTGTGTTGCTGTTGTCTGTTTTGTCTCCCTCTACCTTTCTGGTTATATATTAGGTTCTAGTCTCTGGTCTCCAGTAGGACACTAATAACTCACAAGGGCCTGGTATGATTTGACAAGTGTGGAGGTATCCAGAGCAGCTAGCAACAGGGAACTACCTTGGAGACCTCTCATAAAAACTGGATCTGGTGCAAAATTTTTCGGAAATATGAGGCTACTGGATTATTTCCCTGACATCCGGCTATTTGTATAAATTTTGCAACACCTCAACAAACTGGAAAAGGTGCAAAGACATGCTACTAAGTGGCTCCCAGAACTGAAGGGCAAGAGCTACGAGGAGAGGTTAGAGGCATTAAATATGCCAAAACTAGAAGACAGAAGAAAAAAAGAGGTGATATGATCACTACATACAAAATAGTAACAGGAATTGATAAAATCGATAGGGAAGTTCTAGGTCTCGGGAAGATTTCCCGAGACCTAGAACTTTAAGAACAAGAGGTCATAGATTTAAACTAGCTAAACACAGATGCCGAAGAAATATAAGAAAATTCACTTTCACAAACAGTGGTAGACAGTTGGAACAAGTTAGGTGTGAAGGTGGTGGAGGCCAAGACCGTCAGTAGTTTCAAAGTGTTATATGACAGAGTGCTGGGAAGACGGGACACCACGAGCGTAGCTCTCATCCTGTAACTACACTTAGGTAATTACACATTAATTTTCACATTGCTCAAGATCATCCCACCCTCCCTAATTGATAACTTCAAAAGCTGTTATAACAGCCCCCATTATATGAATAAGATAATATGAATTATCCTCCCTGTACCACTTTACAAGTTTCAAGTCATTACATGAATGGGTTCACCAAACATAGCACAAATACATTAAAAAAATACATATATGCATAATAAATAAGCCAGGAAAGTATGCATTCAGTAGAGTAGAAAAATATAAATTCCGAGAGAACAGAAAAGTAGCATAAAAGGAGGCGTGGTCGGGGACCGGGCCACGGGGATGTTGAGCTCCGAAACACATGGTAAAGTAAGAAAGTGGACTCACCAAGCACAGCCACAGCCTGTTGTGAAGACAAGTCAACCTCCTTCTCTTCTGTCTTATCCTTATCCTTGTCCTTATCCTTGTCTTTGTCTTTATCCTTCTCCTTTTCTTTCTCCTTCTTGTCCTTGGACTTTGTTTCCTCTTGGTCATAGTGGTCTGTACAAATGTGCAGCATTTCCTGAACCTGATAAAGCCAATAAAATGAATAGAAAACATTGCATTAATGAAAACAAACTAGCTATTGTTCCATTAGTTACTCAATAAACTCTTTCATTCATTTTAAATTCATTTAAAATGAATTTAAATGATCAGTGTTTGATCACTGAAGTTATCGATTTTGCCCACTACACTTCCAATGTTTGTGCAGAAAACCAATGGCCAGCAATATAACAAAATAAACCAGTTGTCACTACACCATGTTGCACCATTCACAGAGTGGGAAGGCCAAGAAAGGGGAGCTAACCATACTTATGATATTTCAGTTAAGACTTGTCTGTTCAAACTACTCTAAAAAAACAAACATGGTAGCATCCACCACAATCCACTAATTCATCTACAGCTGTACCTCAACTTAACAAGACCAGGTATACGGTACTCTTTGTGAGTTGCTATTGGTAAGACCAGGTCAACCCGTTCTAGCACTTTCTTATAGTCAATATTGACTTATTAAATACGTGCATATGTGGCATACTAATTTATTGTTATTTAATAAGTTACTTAGCACTTATTTAATAAGTCAATATTGACTTAAAGAAAGTGCGAGAACGGGTTGACCAGGTATATGGTACTCCTTGTGAGCTGTTATTGACAATCATTCAATCCTTCCTTGACAATCATTCAATCCTTCCTAATAAAACTATCTCCACTCAGCTCTGCTTACTGCAACTTCTTGTGTTCTATTCGTATCAATATAACATTTTCATTCGTAACATATTTTCTTTACTCGTCAACCATCACCCACGTGTTCAACCTGACTATACTATCACGAAACACTTTCATCAATCATACAAGTCACAATCTGTTGCACATCCTTCCCTATCTACTTCCTCATAACCAGAGCTTTCATCATACCAGCCACTTGCCTGCCATGAATTTCTTAAATACTATACACACCACCATTTATACTCATACTATCTTCAAGATATCTTCTTGCTCGAAACGCTATGCGTATTAGTGGCTCCAGTACATCACTCCAGTACGTTGTTATTTTACTGTGCAGATTTGGGACCTGTCCCTCCAGTATTTTCCATGTGTACATTATTTGGTATCTCTCTCTTCTACTTTCTAGTGAGTACATTTGGAGAGCTTTGAGACGATCCCAATAATTTAGGTGGTTTATCGCGTCTATGCGTGCCGTATATGTTCTCTGTATTCCCTCTATTTCAGCAATCTCTCCTGCTCCAAAGGGGGAAGTGAGTACTGAGCAGTACTCGAGACGGGACAACACAAGTGACTTGAAGAGTACAACCATTGTGATAGGATCTCTGGACTTGAAAGTTCTCGTAATCCATCCTATCATTTTTCTGGCTGACGCAATACTTGCTTGGTTATGCTCCCTAAACGTTAGGTCGTCGGACATCATTATTCTCAAATCCTTGACATGCTGTTTTCCTACTATGGGCAGATTCGATTGTGTTTTGTACCCTGTATTATGTTTCAGATCCTCATTTTTGCCGTATCTGAGTACAGTACCTGGAATTTATCACTGTTAAACATCATGTCATTTTCTGGTGCCCAATCAAAAATTTTGTTAATGTCTATTTTTAGTTTTTTAATGTCTTCAGCAGAGGTAATTTTCATGCTGATTTTTGTGTCATCTGCAAAGGATGACATGAAGCTGTAACTGGTAATTTTGTCTATATCTGATATGTGAATAAGGAACAGCAGTGGTGCAAGGACTGTACCTTGAGGTACACAGCTTTTAACTGAGCTCGGACTAGATTTTACTTGATTGACTTTTACTCTTTGTGTTCTGTTCAACAGGAAATTGAGTAACCAGCGTCCTACTTTACCAGTTATACCCATTGACCTCATTTTGTGTGCTATCACTCCATGGTCACATTTGTCGAATGCCTTTGCCAAGTCCGTGTATACCACATCAGCATTCTGTTTTTCTTTTAATGCCTCGGTGATTTTGTCATAATGGTCAAGAAGCTGTGAGAGGCATGATCATCCTGCTCTAAATCCATGTTGGCCTGGGTTGTGGTCATTGGTTTCCATGAATTTAGTGACCTGACTCCTGATCACTCTCTCAAATACTTTTGTTATGTGGGGCGTTAGTGCAACTGGTCTATAACTCTTTGCCAATGCTTTGCTACCACCCTTGTGTAGAGGGGCAATGTCTGCTGTTTTCAGCGCATCTGCTATCTCCCCCGTGTCCAAGCTCTTCCTCCACACTATACTGAGTGCCTGTGCTACTGGCACTTTGCATTTCTTTAT